CTGCAGTGGGGACATTCTCACCCCTGCATTGAACCTGGGGCTTGCCCAGATGTTGTACCTTGCAGGGGGTCTCCTGAGGGGAAACACCTGTCTCCAGTAATGTTTCCTATGATGAGTCTTATCAGAGACGTGAGCACAGCCACCCGTCAGTGACACATTTAGCTGCAAGCGATGAACTCAGGGTTGGGGAAGGTGGTTGCCTCTTGCCTGTGCCTTTCTCAGAAGCTGTTTCTCTGTAGCTGTTGCTCCAAGCAGGTGCTATCAGATGCCTTCAGCCTTTGTGTTGTGTCCACAGCTGCATCCTGTTCCTTCCCCTGCCGCTTGTGTAGTGCAGGGGGTACATGGGGCTTTCCCCTAACGGTTCCTAAAAGGGGCGTCAGGCGGTGCTGCCGTGCCCGGGAGCTGCATCCCTCCGAGACAGCCTGTGGGAACAGCAGTTTTCCTGCCTTTGTGTCACGGGTACTTCTTTTTCTCCAGGTATTAAGGTAATTGGTGGCATCAAGGAACCCACTGGAGAAGAATATGGGGTTTATGTCAAGAGGATCCTTCCAGGGGGTGTTGCTTATGCTGACGGTGAGTTAAACATGGTGCAGAGCACCACAAAGGCTGGGAAAAGCCAAAATCCAGTGTATTTATTTTATACGTTGCCTTATTAGATATTTCAGTTGCTTGTCCCCAGATTTTCCAGCAGCGGGGGTATTTTTTTTTTACCATGGCACTCATTGTAACATCTCACAGCAGCCTTGTCTTGCCTTCTCCAGCAAAGGGATTGTTTCATGGCTGCAAAGGCAGCTCCATCTCCGCCCCATGCAGAGCCTCCCCTTGCTGCCTGGCCTCTCCCATGTGCCACTGACCGCCTGTAACCCCCAAACAACTGGAGATCCTTTTGGAAATTCAGCTCTGCTCTCGGCTATTGATTTCATTCTGAGCATCTTCAAACAAGGAGGCACTAGGCAGGGCTCTGCAGAGTTCACCTCTTAGAGCTTAAGCCAGAAAGATTTTTATTTTTTTCTCCCCAAATGTTACAACATCATTTTCCCACCTATTAAAGAAAAATAAATCCAGAACAGGTGGAGGTGCCACTCGTGGTTTTCTACCTGACCTCAAACTCAATTAAATAAAAGCTTTATTGCATTTTTTCGGTATTTACTTTCGTAACTTGCTACAGCAGAGGAAGTGCTGCGACATTGGCACGGGCTGTTCAGGGAGGCTGCAGGAACTTCATCTGTGGATGTCTTGAAAAACAGGTCGGATGAGCATCTCAGGAGCGACCTATGCGTATTTCATCCTGTCTCTGGGCAAAGGAAGGAATTGCCCAACCTCTCCCAGTCCCTTCAAGCTGTATTTTCTGCAGTTTCTATCCATTAGTCTTCTTTTCCAGGGCGCCTGCAGCCAGGAGACCAGATCCTGGAGGTCAATGGAGATTCCCTAATTGGGGTGACAAGCGAGAGGTACCATACCCAAATTGAAATGTTGCATTCCCAATGCTTTTGTAGAATTCTGTGAAGTGGTTTAGGCAGCAGGTGGCACAGAGGATGCCAGTGCATCATTTTGGCTGCTCCCTGACAGCCATGCTGCTCCCGAGAGCCAACTTGGGAATTATCAAATGAAAAGTTTCTATATTAAAACAGAACCCAAACTGAGCTATTCAGACATTTCCCCACAACTCTGGGGTTTTTATCAGCTCCTGGCACCCCCGCTCCATCTGCTGCAGCTCCCAGCAAGCCCCAGAGCTCCCAGAATGGGAGATTCCCCAGTGCCCAACCCCGACAGTGCTGCCCTGCACAGGGGATTCCCTCCAGAGCTGCCATCCAGCCCCTCATCTCCCTGCCAAGAAAATAATTCACTGCTCCAGAGGGGCACAGCACTTTTGGGGCACCTCTTTCCCATTAACCACCTGCTGCTGCCTTGTGCTTCTGCACAGCGTTGGAGAGATGCTCAGGAAGCAGCATGAGGAGCTGCTCCCAAAGCCCCAGAGGTGGGTGGGTGGGTTTGATGGATGAGGTCCTCAAAGACATTTGTGCAGCTGCAGGGAGGCTGTGCCGGGCCCCCAGCACGCTGCCCTGACTCCCCCAGGGATGGGTGTATTTGGAACCAGAACGTGGCCCGCCCTGAGATGGAAACTTCCCAATGGAGGAAATGTTCTGGGAGGTATTTGCTCGCCACCACCACCATATGCATCTCCTGGGAACAGGGGTGTTCCACAGGCATCCAGACAAAAAAGGTCCCTTGGTTGCAGAGGGGTTTGCCCAGGCTGTGGGTCTCTGCCCAGTTTGCCATGAGCTCTGACACGGGGCTGGAGAGCTTGGTGGAGCCCCGCTGTGAGCTGCCATTGATGTATTGTGGTCCTTGTCTCACAGGGCCGTGGACATCCTGAGGACGGCATCAGCCACCAGCCACATGCGCCTTCTCATAGCCCGTGATGACGATGCCAGGTAAGAGGGACGGCGGCGCTCGTTGGCACCGTGGCTGGGCAGCATTGGAACTCCACGGGCTCAAAGCCCACGGTAAAGACGGAGGTGGCCAAGGGTCCTTGATAGCTGCACTGAGCTGTGAGAGGAAGGGAAGTGAAACTGGTTGCGCCAGATCTGTGGGGCATCCCAGCATCCAGCAGATCTCCCCGGGCGTTTCCCCAGCAAGGAGCAGGGCAGCTCCAGGTTCAGCTGTCAGGTGGCACGAGCTCCTTCAGCTCTGCTGCGTGGTGCAGAGCTGCCTCTGGCTTATCAGGTCCTGCATAGAGCTTTGGATGAAGATGTGTAGGGACAGGAGGATCTTCCCTTCCCTTTCCAGTTAGGTGCATTAAGGTCTTCCTTCTCCAGAAGATTCCTCCTTCTCAGGGAGGATGAGGAGTTTCTCCCCAAAACCTTTGCCAATCCCTGCAAAACCTTGAATCCTCCAAGCCTCTTCAGAGAGAGCAAAAGGAGAAGAAAAGAGTTTGGTTTTGTCTTGCCTGGATTTAAGCTGTGTAGGACAATGTGTCACGAGAGAGGGCAGGGTTGTGGAAACCGAGGTGTGGGCTCAGTGGGGTCCTTTGCTCGCATCCCCTGGGAGATCTGGTGCCACGTGCTGGAGCATCCTCTCCATGTGGAATAGGGACACAGGTCTGGGAAGTTGAGGTGCAGCAGGAACCACCGAAATGAGCGTGGGTTCGGGGAGAGCATGGTCGTGGGCAGGCAGGCTGGTGGCACTGCGGCTTTGCGCTGAGTGTGGGTGGCTGGAGATCACAGAGCTGTTTGCTCAACGTACCCGCATCCCATTAGCGTTGGAGGTGATGGTTTCATTCCTTGTCCATCAGCAGCTGTGGAGCGTTGCAGCCTTAGCAGAGCAGTGACAGTGCTGTAATGACAGGGAGGGGACTAATTTTGACTCAGTAATATTCTGGCAGAAGAATTATTTGCTATTAATAACTGCTTTTACCTACCTCTATCCCACTCTTCTGGTGAAAGTAGCATCTCAAATTATTATATTAACTGCAAGTCCTTCAGCAGCTGCTGAGGAACCACTTGGGTGAAGCGAGCAGGTCACCAGAGCTCAACCCGGGAGTTTGACCCTCTTGGTCCCAGTAAGGATGCGCAGGATGCGCCTCTGTCGCAGTGGTCCCTGCGCTTGCCTTGGGTGGCAGTAGGCATCTTGTGATGTCCCCTCTCCAGGTGGCTGCAGCCAGGGCTGGTCCCCAGCAGGAGGGATGGATTCCCACAGCTGCAGGATTTGCTCAGAAAAACACTTTTTCTCAGCCAGAGCCCCCAAAGCACGTTTTCTGCTTTTGCCCATGCTGATTTGTTCCAAGCTGTTCAGGCATCTCAATGTGCCTCCTAATATCTTAAATCACAGCAGATGTTTCTTAAAATACATGCACGCGTGGCTTTGTCGGCAGCTCCAGCGCCTCCGTGCATCTGTCACAGTCCCCAGCCGCCCCGCGGAGGAGCTGCTGGAAACCCGGCCAAGGGAGATGGGGAGGGCAACGGAACTTTGAGCAATTCATTTGGCCTCCGTTTGCTGTTGGTTATCTGTTAAATCTGCAAAAGGTTAGCCAGCGGGACAGTGGGGAAGTAATCAGGTTTGGGTTTTGTTGTTGGTTTTTTTTTTTTTTTTTAAAAGATTTGCAGAGATTTCACTTACATAATCATCTTGCAAACTGTTTAATACACGAATACATATCTCCAGGATTAAGGGCTGTGGCAATGGGGGAAGGATTTTTCTGCTTTTTTTTTTTTTCCTCCTTAGTTGTGTCTTGATTTTATTGATGCCCTATTATCTTTTAAGTCTGTTCTTGAGCGTGGGCAAGCAGACAGCCCTCTGTCTGGGTCGGAACGGGCTCTCCGACTCCCCAGGGACCGTCAGCTCCAGAGGCGATGCACACAGGAGATGCTGCACCGTGAACTCCCACGAGTCGAGGGCAGCCTCGCGCCTTCCCCCTACCCAGCAACGTGCCTCACGAGACACGAAAGCTGAAGGAGGACATTGGGAGGAGGATAATTCAGTGTATTTGCAGATCCTCGCATGCAGGTCATCTTCGTAAATGCTGGAGGAGGAAACGTAATGGCTTGGGGTTTGGAAGACGATCCAACCCGCCTGCCAATATTCCCAATGACTCAGCTGAGGAGCATTTTGTTGTGGTTGCCCTTGGGTGAATTTGACTCATAAACGCTATTATCTGTCCCTGGAGTTAATTATAGGTCCAAATTACCTGTGCTCTTTATGGAAACTTGGTCCTGGCGTGCACAAGCTGCATGTTTTCAGCCTGTCGCATCAGACATGCTGCAGAGAGCGGCAGTAATGCTAGGGCTTGGAGCAGAAAATTCAGATTTAGAGCTGGACGCGCTGGGTTTGGATGACGGTTGGATTGGATTTTTCGCCTGTGCTCATCTTTAGCTAACGAGGATAATTTTATTGCGTACGCATAATTATTGTTTATTCATTCTCAGCCTGAAAGTTACAATAGTTCCTTGTTTCCACGCGTTGCACAGATGTCATCCTGGTCTTTCAGGTTTATCGCTGTGAGAAAGCCTGTTTGCGCTGCACCTCCTAGTCCCTGCATGATAAAATGCTAAATGCATTGCATCTCCCTGTGATACGCTCGGTGAAAATGGGTTATAATATCAACAGGGCTTGCACGAGGAGCAGGAAGGACAGCAGTCTGCTTTTCTGCAGACGTATAACCAGCATCAGCTGATACCCAGGAACCAGCAGAGAGGCTGTTGCTGGAGTTCATGCCCAGCCTGGTGCCAATGCCAGTTAATCCCTTTTTACCTGGGACAGCAGTGGCTCAGCCCACAGGGTTCTTCATCTGAGCAGCTGGTGCTAAACGGGAATCATAGAACCATGGAATGATTTGGGTGGGAAGGGACCTTAAAGCCCACCCAGTGCCACCCCCTGCCATGGGCAGGGACACCTCCCACCAGCCCAGGTTGCCCAAAGCCTCATCCAGCCTGGCCTTGAACCCCTCCAGGGATGGGGCATCCACAGCTTCTCTGGGCAACCTGGGCCACTGCCTCACCCCCCGCACAGGAAAACATTTCTTCCTCACATCTCATCTCAGTCTCCCCTCTTTCAGCTTAAAACCGTTCCCCCTCGTCCTGTCCCTCCACCCCTGATCCAGAGCCCCCCCATCTCTCCTGTAGGCCCCTTTCAGCACTGGAAGGTGCTGGAAGGTCTCCCCGGAGCCTTCTCTTCTCCAGGCTGCACACCCCCAACTCTCTCAGCCTGTCCTCGCACAGGAGCTGCTCCAGCCTCGGACCATCTCCGTGGCTCCTCTGGCCCCGCTCTGGAAGGCACTGGTGGGGCTGGTTCCATGAGCCTGGGGTGTTCCAGGGTCACTGGCTGCTCTTTGGAGAAAACCAGGCATCCAGAAGCTGAGATGTGCATGTCACCGCTGCCTCGGCACTGATGGAAAGGCAAAGCTCGCAGCAGCATGATGCACAGCCAGTGGAAACGCTGCAGCTGCCGCGAGCTGGGCGTGAGAAAATCTGCTTTTGTGATGCTTTTACAGCGCTTTGGGTTCACGGTTCCCGCTGACCTGCAGGCTTGGGTTTTTGAGACAAGCCATTAATTCAGCTGGTGTCACAGGCTCCTCTTTGTCCCCAGCCGCGGTGTGGAGCTGAGGTTTCCAAACGCTGTGCTCCCATCACGTCACCTTTGATGTAGGATTCACCCTTTGTTCTCCCCAGAACAAAAGGGCAGGACAAAAAGGTATTATGAGATAAACCAGCAACATTCTGCAGGAAGATTGACCCCCTGCTGCTTTAATCTGGAGCAAAGTCGGCCCACAGCTGGCTGCTGCCGGCAAACCCCATCCTCCCACCACGGGTCCGAGCTCTGCTGCAGGGATCCTCCAGACCTCAACTGTCTGTGTCATGATGAAAAACAACTGGAGAAGGGATTGTTAAAATGAACTTTCCACCTAATACAACCCCACTTTTTTTTTTTTTTAATAGCTGGGCATTTTAGTCCTGCAGACACCTGACAATGCAAAATGTTTTAGTAGGGGTCAAATTTTAAATATTAAAGACGTCTTCTGAAGTCTCTCAGTGTCTGAAAGCACAAGGCAAGACTGGATGGCACTCCTTCAGCGTACTTGTTCATTAATTGGTAATGTTTGGGCATCGTCTGCCCGCCTGCAACTTCCTTCAAATACAGCGCTGAGCCCAAAATTAATTCTCAGGAGATTGACACCAGAAAGTGGATTGCTTGCTGCCGGGATAAGCGTGTGCTTCGAGTTAGTCATGTGTTGATGACCTTGGTGCAGTACAGACCAACAAAGCACTGCCTGTGACATAGCGTTTAGTCACCTCGTCCCTCCAGCAAACGGCGGGGCTGGACCCAGCCTTGCAAAGCCACCCTGGGCTGAGAGCTGGCTGGGCAAGCTCCGGAGCAAATAATGATAAATACTCCTTTGGGGATGAACTTAACAACATGAAATAACAACAAAGAATGCCCAAGTCCTACCTGCCCTTGCTTATAGCAGAGTTGGACAGCACGGATCGGTGATTGGGTTCCCATTGTTCAGAGGGTTTAAAGACATCAGAGCTGCCAGACTCGTTGCATTTGCATTGACTAAGAGTTTTGAGCCATTGTTTTAAGTTCATAACCTGTTCTGTGCTCTGATGAGTTATTATCTGAGGAAAATGTAACAATAGATGACCACAGAAACACCCAGCCCAAAACAAAAACCCGGCTGCTGATGGTTTGGTAACCACTGGAAATAATATCTGAGCGTCCAGCACGTTAGACCTGCCATTGCAACAGGTCGTGGAGGGATAAGGCCATCGGTGCAGGAGTTACCAGTGACACGGGAGTGGGAATCATCTATAGAAATACAGGCGTGTTACTGTAAATTTGGAAAAATTCTGCCAAGGCAAGATCTATCCAAGGCTTAACCCAGGGAACCTCAGAACAGCAATCCGCTGTTCTACTGCTCTAGGATCTAAGTTGTCCTTCCACTTTCTCTGGCTTTTACAAATATTTAGCGCCCAATGCTATGAAACTGCCATTAAAACAGTTTTGTGGAAGCTGGGGTTTATGAACAAAGTAGTTGCCTTTTTTTAATGTCATGGGTTTAGTTGATGAAGACAATAGCGTTGATGTAAAGTCCTGGGATGCACCAAGGCTTTCCACCAGGTATTGTGCGACACTTGGCTTTAAAATGAGCATTAAATGAAATGATAAGGTATAAATTTGATGGCAATATTAGATAAGGCAGGCACTGGTCTTTGAAGTTTGTTAATGAGCTGGTTGGTAATGGGAAGATGTAAATTATTGAAAACATTTCCAGCAGGAACCTAAGGAGCTGATGATTCATTCATCATTTAATATTGTTGACTCTAATCTAGGCAATAATACAGAACATCTGTCCCGGTAAAGTCTGCAGATGACACAGCGTCTGCTGGTGTGTAAGAGCAGTCTCCTCGCTGAGGAAACTTTGCTGTGGCTGGTTTCCTACAGATTTATGTCTTGAGCTCGTCTGACTGTCATAACCAGGCTTTTCCTGTGGCTACAGCATCAAGAAGGCACCTTCCCACGGGGATTCCCTCATGCCTTCAAAGTGGACACCTAATGTTGTCACCGTGGCCACAGAAACAAGACTTTCAGGGTCTCACCCCACTGCCTGGCTGCTTATTTAGTGACACCTGTAAGAAATTGGTCATCCTAGAGGCTCTTCTCTCTGCCAAAAGGTTGGATTGATTCAGGGTTGCGAAGGGCGAGGACCACACAGTTGCAGAGGGACAGAACGCTCCTGGGAGCAGAGAGCCAGTGTGGCGGGGATGAGCGTGGGAGGCTGATGCTTGGATGCGGCATCCCCTTCCCATGCCTCCTCATCTGAAAGGATGGGAGAGGCTCAAGGCAGCTCAAAGAAGGATTGCAGAAATCGTGCAGGAGCTGGTCAACTGGTTAATGGTGGGTCTTAATGGGGTTTAAAAACTCAACATACCGCACTTGGCCAAAGGAAGGTCACAAAGCAATTCATGGGTAGTTACAGCTTATTAGGGACTCAACACACTTGGGTGGTTATGTGGTGGTCAAACTTGACCTGGAAGGAAAGCACTAATGAAGGCACTTGGGCACTGAGGCAGCTTTTCAGGGGATGTCGTGGGTGAGATTGCTTTGCAGAGAGGTAATATAGGAAGCAAGGGGGGTTTATGTCAAGACATAGAGATCATGCAAAATGTTTGTGGGCTGCTATTCCTCCCTTCTCTTGGATTCACCCACAAGCCCTTCTCATCTTGATATCTGTAAACCTAGCATGTACGGCTGGGTTAGCATCTTCAGCCAGGAGCTGCTGGGAAGAGTACAGAAGCCTGTGCTGCCCCAGACCAGCTCTGTGTGTCCAGGTCTTTGTTGAGGTCTTATACTCCAAGAGTTTATCCTGCAGGGTTCTTGGAGGATATCACTATGGAGAGAGATTCAGAGAGCAGGATGTTTCTTTTGCATGTGGTCCAGAAGCCACCTCCCCTCTTCACCCCAGCAGGAACTGCTTTCCATCTAGGAAAGGAGAAGAAAAAACAGAGAATGATCTACATTTAGCTATTCTGGAAGTAGTCACAAACAGGCCAAGCATTTTTGGTTTCTGTTTGTGAGAATGAGCTGTAACTCTGCAGTCTGTTTAATCTGTGTGGTGTGTTAGCAAAACTTCTGAGCCTTATCGCTGGGGGTGAAGTTATTCCAGCCAATTCCCAGGAAGGTCCATGCGGTGGGGGGCAAGGCAGGGCTCCTGCATTCATCTGCCCTCCCTCAGGAAGGACACTCCCCGTCACCAGCACCTGTCCACACTCCCTTCCCAGCTCCTCTTGCCCATGTTCACCCTGAGCACTTTCCAGGGCAGGGGAGGAGCACACCGAAGCTCCAGCCCATCGCAGGAAAGCTGCACTGCTGTGAGATTGATTATCGACCTTAAGCCTTGAACAGCCTCTTGAAATTCATGAGACAGCTCTGTCTGCCCCCCATTGCCGGAGAGAACAGGCCCTATAGACTGGGCAGTAAGTCACAGCCATCAGAGGCACTGTTGTCGTATAATCAGGTGGGGAATAATTTTGAGCAGCAGCTGACTATAATATATTTTTCCTTCCAGGAGAGAGTTCTCTGAGCTGCTGGAAAAGTTTGGCTCCCAGAGCAACACGGGCTCAGCGCGGAGCTCCCCCATCCTGCATGGCGGCAGTGAGTAGCTCAGCATGCCTTTGGGGGGAACCAAAAGCCCCTCTCCCTGCTGAGAACGTTCTCTTTATCCCAGTGTTATTTTGGAATAGTATTAATTTGATTCATGTAGGTGTTTGGGTGGAGGTTTGAAGGAAAAGAAATCCTGCTCATCCTTATTGCAAGCTCTTGATGTGTCCCCAGGTGGAGAGCAGCAGGCATGGCCCGTCCTGCCCGCACGCGGGGCAGCGAGAATTAAGCTGGGGTCGTAACCGCTTCCCAGGTGTCCAGAACTGGGCAGTGAACCTCAGCAATACCTGCCTCTGTAGGGACAGCTTTCTACCGTGGAATTCAAAGCATTTCAGCAATCATTCATTCAATGATCGTTATTTTTCATTTGCAAATGGGAAATGTTTAATGACACCCAACAAGGTTAACCTAAGCGACGTGCCAGCACATCACATCACATGTGTGTGGGGAGAGAAGGTGTCCCCTGGCTTGGCATCCCACCAGACCGCTGCTAGCCCTTCCCCTGTGGCAGAGGGGATGACAGTCCCATGCCAGGATGGTGCCGAGGAGGCTGAAGGTTTCCTCTCCGTGAGCGATATACCAATGTCTTCAACGACCATGTGGTTCTCCTCAAAAAGCTAGGAACATGGTGTCAGGTCCCTGTGGCAGAGCAGGGGAGGGGGGTGAAGCTGGAGTATCTGCCTTCCCTGCGCTGACTCTGACTTTGCTGTTCAGGTCGATACCTGGAAAGCACATCCTCGGGCTCCTCCTCGCGCTCCCAGAGCCCGCTGCTGCTGAGCCCCGCCAACTCCCACGGCCCCTTCATCGGGAACCCGGTGCACCCCTCTCACGCACAGTACGTACGCGTCGCGAGGGGCCGGCCCCGCAGAGCCTGTCCCTTGGTCAGTCGTGACGATAGCACTGAATGTCTAATGTTGTCTTAGGGGTAGATCCAGTAAATAATCCCAGTGCTGGAAGAACGGCTCTGTTCATCCTTACGTCCTCTGTGCTGTTGTATCACCATGGTGGCCAGGAGACCACAGCGTCTTCTAGAAGTCTTTCTCGTGGTAGCATCTTGTCTGTTCTTGGGAAGCCTGTACCCAAGAGCTGCCAAGCTTCCCTGCTGAGGCAGTCAATATGTCTGTAACACAGTTAACCACCCAACCGCTCCTCTTCCTCCCCTCTGAAACCTGGGGAGAAGCCGTGGCTTACAGCCCACTGAGTCACCTTTCTAACCCATGTCATGAGTGGAGTGTTTCTGCGAGGCCAGTGGTGCTTTCAGAAGGTGCTTCAGGAGCTCGTTTCCTATTGCCCTGCTTCTGGCACGTTAACATCGTGCAACAAGAGCATGAGTATGAGCGCTGCCCTCTCAATGCAAACGCTCCCGACGCCCTTTGCGTCGTTGTCACCAGCGGTTGCCTACAGACACCGCATCCTTTTGTCTCCAGAGCATCTCCTGGAGTGTGTGTTTTCATGTGGTCATCTGTCCCTTTTATATTTCCCAGGCTCAGAGGTTTGGACAGGCAGAGCTTGTTTTTCTGTGGAGTCTCATCTTCGGGGTGCTTGGGGTTGCCCTTCTCAAGAGGAACCTTGAAGGGTGTTAAGAGTCATGGAACTGACCATCCCCAGGGCTGGCAGCTTCCCTTCTTTTGCCAACATAAACAAGCTGAGTTGCTGGCAAAGGGAATCAGCCCTTGCTGCAGAACCAGTGAATCCTCTTGCTAAATGCAGCTCTTTATGAGGGACTTGCAGAGGTCAAATATTTGGCACCAGACTCCTTGCACAGAGTGAGAGACCCTTAGGAGGAGAGGCCAGCTCAGCTCCTTGGCAGCTGGTTTGGACAAACGAGACATCCTTGCTGTGCTGCTAACCTGCTCCAGGCTGCGATATAGGCTAGAGGGGACTGGGTTTGGTGGCCTCCTGGCTCCGCGTTGCCATGCGGTGCCACGTTCTGCTTGTCTCCATGCCGGTGCCAGGCCCTGGGAGCAGCATGAGCCATTTGAAATCATGGACCATTGGTGGCCGCTGAGCGTTGGTGGTCAGCTGCAGAGATGTCATTTGGGCCATGGGTCTTTTCATGCCAGTGACTGCCATCCCTTCTGCTCACCACAGGTTGTCCCCAGGCTGTGACCTGTCATCGCAGTGTCACCTGAGATCCTGCCACCCCACTGAGCAACGGGACTCAGATACGATTCAGTCTTGCCCCAGATCATGTCTGATGATTTGATTTGAATGGACATCTACATTTAACGTCACATTTTGTGACATCATTTTCCTAAAATATTTATTTGAGCAATGCTTTTTCATAAGACTAAGAGGCAGTTCCTCTTCCCCATGAATCCCACTGGCTCTCCCAGGAGCCCACGGCCAGTTTGGGGATGCTGGCAGCTGCTCTCTCGCTGGGGTGTCTGACTGCTGAGGATGGCATCACTGGAGAGCACAGGGCAGTTACATGCTGGTGTCACTGCGAGGCACAGGATGCACAGCTGTCATTGCTCCTCGAGTCATCAGATAACACACAGGAGCAGAAACTGCAGACTGGTTGGTGAGTGTCTGCTTTGGAAATAAACCAAAAGGGAGAGAAGCCAGCTGTGGCCAGCCCATGAGGAGGAAAAGCCTTGCTGACCCTTGGCTTCCACCAAATCCTTCCCCCAAACCTCCCCGTTGCAACGCTGCCCACCACCCCGTGGGTGCTCAGTGAAACATCTGCTCGCACGAGCACCCACTGCAATGGCCAAACCTCCCTCCTGGCATGGAGCCACCTGCTCTGCCCTGGTCTTGGTGGCCTCTTGGGTCCCAACTGGCAGGGTGGGGTGCAGCCTTATCGCTGCTCCGTTTGCAGTGCGTCCTTGACCGGGCGAGTCATCTGTACCACTGCCGCAGAAGTAATCACCGGGTGGTGGGTATTGCTACAAAGGTGCTTAAGGGCTCCTTTCTTGGGGCATCTTCCAAGATGTTGAGTGCAAACCTTGATTAAGACGTAGTCAGCTGTGTATCCTGAGCTTTGATTTCACAATTTCTAAGGGCTGCTTAATAGCTGACCAATCCATAGCTTGCTGTCTGGTGATTTAGCTGGGTTTGAACAATAACCACGTGGAGCCTTTGTGTGCTTTTGGCTATAAAAACCCAGAGTGTCAAATACATTCTAGTTAAACCTTTAGTTTCTTCTCTATTTTCTAAATGCAAATGAGTATTCCCCAGCATTTGGGATTACACAGCCCAGTCATCTTCATAATGCTGAACAATGTCTGCTGAGAAATTGGAGTTCTCACCTCTTCTTTCCAAGGTTGGGTGGAAGATGCAGAGGCAGAAAAGGTTGGGAGAAGTTAGAAGGATCATGCATGGAAAGCAAACCAGGCAGAGTTTGTTCAGCGGCATGGGAAAATAAACCAGATCACCTTGAGTCACCTGCTAACGTCTCTCCCTTGCAGCTACTCCATTGAATCAGGAATCCAGAGCATTTCTATAGCAAAATCCTCCGGCTTAGGGCTGACAATCAGTGGTGGATCTAACAGGCCTGATGGCCCCATGATTTATGTCCAAGAGCTTATGCCAGATGGTGACTGTTACAAGGTAAGTCAGCATGGAGACCCTCTGACTTGCAATGGGGACCTCTCCTAGAGGCTGCAGCTCCTCTGAAGCAGCTTTTCTAAGAATAGATGAATAGTGCATTGCACGGACTAACGAGGATTTGTGTTGCAGGAGAAGGCTTTAGGCAGAGAGACCTTCCTTCCCAACGCTGTGACTTTCTCCCTCTTTGTTTAGGATGGTCGGCTTCGACCTGGTGACCAACTAATTGCTATCAATAGAGATTCTTTGGTGGGCAGCACACATGAAGAGGCCAGAAAAATAATTGCAAAAGCCAAATTCAGGTAGGCTTGTGACCTATTTCCTGTGTCATCACGGTGCTGTTGAGTCTTGGGCAGAAACCCTTCCTGTTATACCAATGTTTGGCTTCAAGAAGCGTGAGGGTTATTAGTCTTAAATGATGCTTCAAGATGGTCCTGATAGGTGGTCAGATAAGGAAATTTTGAATGCATGGATCATCCTGAAGCATAATCCAGACCTTCCCAATGTTCTGGTCCTCATGAGTATCCCCTATCACTGCCCAGCAGAGTTCTGCTACAGAACTGAAGGTCAAACAAGCAGCGCAGCTGGTGGAGATCCAGCTATGTTGGTGCAGGCTATCTGGGCTTAAGTGAGATTATCCCAGAGAAAGAACCACGGGCATGAAATTTCTGCAAATTTGAGTTGTGCTTTTTTTGTTAATAAAATGTTCTGTATTTGTTGTTTGTTTAAGACACGAGGCAAACACAGAAGTGGCCTTTATTCCTGGAAGGGGACGGTTACACCCTGGATTGTCCGTTCATAACAACATCCCGTCACCACCTCCAAAGGTCATGGGAAACGGTCTGGGTTCCTGCAGACTGAAGGTCCACATGAGGTCCCCAGAGGTAGGCTGAAGTTCATAGAGTCATAGAATAGTTTGCTTTGGAAGGGACCATGGAGGTCATCTAGTCCAGCGCCCCTGCAGTGAGCAGGGACAAGTTCATGGCTAAGACCACAGACATAGGTCCTGTGATCTTTCTTTGATCAGAAAACTCTTCTTTAGGGACCCCATGGTGGCCCTGGACAGTGGAGGGTCTGCAGTGCTGATGTACATAGCCCTGTTTGGCAGCCAGGTAGTTTAAATCTGAAATACTGTCTCTTCTCTCTTGGGTTTGAGACAGCGAAGGATGTGTGAGGTAATGAGAGGAGTTTCCTCTCCAGGGCCTGCATTCAGACCTGTTTCAGAAGTCTTGGGTTTAAAACAAACCCTTCTCTGGAGAACAACCTGCATCTCATTCGGCACCAGTCACAGGGCTGGAAGGGATCTCAGCAGTCGGTTTGATCTAGGCTCCTACCCAAAGGCAGGAACAACTCTTTGTTCTTAAAGACCTCTGATGAGGATGAATCCTCCGCATTCCTAAGCAGCCCGTTTCTGTTCTTCACCAGCCTAATGATAAGCCAGGCTCATCCTGCCCGTGGAGCCTAGCTCCATGGTGTGTTCGCAGAGCCAAGCGCTCGAGCTGTGTGTGGTGAGACAGGGTTTAACCACACCACCCTCATGGTAATTTAGGTCTGTGCATGGATTCTATGCCTTTGTCACTCCTCTCCTGGACTGTCACAATGCCTGGAGTATCTTCTGCCCTTTCCCACACAAACTTCCTTTAGAAAAAGCCGGCTGGAGGTTCCTTTCATACAAGCATCACTCACAGAAGATCTTTCTTTCCAGACCCTGTGGAGGC